CTTTTGCTCCACCCCTTGGTGTCTCTATAAAAACCCTGGGGCAGAGACTGTCGGGGCCCGTTGGAATAGGTTCCAGGCCCTCTCGAGGCTATTCTTTATTTTCTATCTGTTTATCTCCGCGATATTCTCCGCAATAAATCCTTCTATCTAATATTTCCTGCTGCTCGCACTCAAGAAAACTCTGGGGAACTGTGGGGGTGGTTGGGTAAACGCCCCACAGGGTACTTAATCAACACTTTAAATTTAAACATCCTTGATGTATCCTTTAAGCTTTACAAAAAATGGCCTGTTCCAAAAAATAATAAACCATGAAAAGGGTCTGTGGAAAGTGAAATTCCTACAAGCGTTGACAAAAATGAGGACAACGCCCCTTATACAGAATTATTATTTCAGGAATACCACTTGGACTGGCCGGCACTATACACTCTTGGAATCCCATACACGCTCTTGCAGGCACCCAGGTACCACAGGCTGAAGGTTCTGCTGCTCCATCAGTCTTGTGGGCTGATTCAGAAGTCCAATCTTCAGCTCTTATAAAGGATTACTAAATGCCAGCATGGTCCCAACCTCAGGAGTTTGGCACGTGCTCATCCCTACCAGGAGTCTTCATCTCTCAGTTTACCCAGGCCATCCTTCGCTTATTGCGTTTTAATATAAACAGCATAACTGCCATCTTCTCCCTCATGCTCCTTAAAACTGCAATTTCTTTTTTCTCAACATCATGCATCACCACTGGCTGACACACTATATATGTTGCTGATCTGTGTCTCCCCCGGCTCAGGCCCTTAGGAGGTCAGCTTCATGAGAGCTGAGTGAAGACCATTGCCCGTCACTGTTACACCTGCAGTGTCCAGAGGAGAGGACTCTCATTCAGTTGCCAAATAATGAAACTACTATGGCCTTTGGAATTGACCATATTAGTATCTTTCTTCTAAAATGGATGGTATTTATTTCACAAAAATCAACATTGTCCAAAGAAAAGGATGACATGCATTGTAGTTTGAGAAAAAGAAATTCTGTGTCCCCAGCATGTTACAGTAAATACCTTTCTATTGCCACAAACACCAATTTGGAGATTCTTCCCTGAAACCTCTAACTACAAAAGGGAACACGTTCCAACCAGTGTTCATGTTGATTTGAACTGAGGTAAAAACATCACAGAGATTGAGTTAAGGCCCCAGGTTTTCAGACTAACATGCCCAGCAAGTTACCTATACTTCCTACACCTCAGTCTCCACTCTATAAAAAGCTGATTATAGCAATACTTAACCCATAAGCATGATGCACACATTTGATTGGCTTAACCGAGAATTAAATGAGTTTAAAGATGAAGAAGGTACTTGGAAAGTGTTAGAGTGTGACATTCCTGCGAACTTAATTCAAACCCTTGAGAGGAGTAAGGTGGTTTCTTGAAGTTACCACTAAAATACCTTGTAAAGTTAAGTAAAATTTAAAGTGGAGAAGAGACAGTAAAATTTGATGGAAGGTCTGAGCTCAAACACCTCCCAATGCTGAGTTATCCAAGCTTTGTCTCTTTAAGTTTTATTGAGCAAATCTGTAACAAAACCTTTAGAGAACAGTGCATTGTCAATGTGGCTGCCGGGGGTACAATTTAAGACCCCCATAGAAGGAAGAAAAGGTTTTAACACAGTGTACACAGTTTAATCAAAGTACAACAATGTAAGAGTCAAACCCTAACCCTGGCCCTCTGTGGTGGTTTGAGGAGAATGGCCCCCATAGGCTTGTATATATGAATGCTTAGTTACCAGGCACTGTTTGAAAGGATTAGAAGCATTAGGAGTGTGGCCTTGTTGGAGGAAGTGTGTTGCTGAGGGTGGACTGAGGTTTCAAAAGGCCATGCCAAGCACAGAGTCCCTCTCTCAGCCTGTGGATCAGGGTCTAACTCTCAGCTACTGCTCCAGTACCATGCATGCTCTCTGCCATGATGATAATGGACTTAACCTCTGAAACTGTAAGCCAGCCCCCAATTAAATGTTTTCTTTTATAAGAGTTGCCTTGGTCATGGTATCTCTTCATAGCAATGGAACAATGACAAGATCACCCTAACACGAAGCAAAACTCAATACAGATATTTAACTGAAATGTAGAAGTAATGCCTTGCTGATTAATAATGGGAAAGGTGCTTGTTGCTTGCTGCTCTCTTAGCCTCCACTTACAAACCTTTAAATGAATTTTCTCTTCGAAAATTAAAAGTATGCTATTGGTGAAATTATTAAGGCCACTCCACGTAATTAAAGGGAGATTTATTTAATGGCATAACTTACAAATAAAGGGATAGGTAGGTCGCGGGGTCTGGGGAAGGTGTATCACAGTCCAGCGGTGTTCTCTGGAGCTCTGCTTGGTCCACCTCCACTATCCAGGGTCCCGCAACAGAGAGAGCGCCCCCGATCCAGATCTTGGGTCCCCAGGCGCCTCCCTTGGCCCCGCCTTGTAGGCGTGACAGTTGCCGAAGTCTCAATGGGGGTTGGAACTTCCAGATCAAAGCTGGAATGGCTACCCACTACAGTATGCAATCTTTCAGAGCCCAGACGACCTTCCTTTGAAGGATATGGAATGCCTGACAGGTGTTCAACAGCCATTCAGTACTCCTGGTTTCCACTATAACCTGAGCCTGTGAGGGCAGAAGAGGTCTGCATACCTGGCCATCTTCCTCATTTTATAGAGAAAGGAGCTGACAAATTAAACCTCTTCACAGCTCCCATAGTCATTCATTTAAAACATACCAGAGTCAGTTTTGTTTAGCATGGAAGTTAAGGGAAAAACATTAATTTCCTCCTTAGCCCAATGGAATAAATTACATTGGATTAGTAAGTTAAATAAAGAACACAGATCACCATCTCAAGATCTTTGTCATAGGCTTTCAAGGCTCCTTAATATTTCAACTGGGCTTTTTTGGGGTCCAAGAAAACAATAGCTTTCACTCCCCTCCAAGTTGAAAATCCAGAGGCTCATCCTTTTCAGATATATAGTGTTTAAGAAGTAAACTTTGACCCCTTTCAGAAAAAGCCCCTGCCTCCAAGCAAAGATATGTCCTTTAGCCTCCCGATTACACCATGATCAGCATCCCACATACTCAAGAAGATGCCAACAAAGCAAAGGAAGACGGTTTCAGAACAAAGTAACAACCTACATGAAGTACACATGAAACCATCTTTTAGATTTACACTTGCAAGTGCTGCTATTCCCAGCTGACAGGAGTCTTCCTGTTAACTCCAAGGAAGGCCAGTGCATTGGATCAACTGACCAGGCAGAAACTCCGAGGACCCAGAGGATGTATGCTCAGAGGAGCTAGCATGCCTGCCCATTAACACAGCCTGCAAAGCATGCTGGGCATTCTACTACCTAGCACTTCACTTAATCTCAAACAACCCTGGCAACTAGAATTTTGTCTCCATGATTGAGGTAAGAAAACTGAGGCATAAAGAAGTCAATCATGGGCTGGAGAGATGGCTCAGCGGTTAAGAGTACTGGCTGTTCTTCCAGAGGTCCTGAGTTCAATTCCCAGCAACCACATGGTGACTCACAACCATCTGTAATGGGATCTGGTGTTCTCTTCTGGTGTGCAGGCATACATGCAGGCAGAACACTGTATACATAATAAATAAATGAAATCTTAAGAAGAAGAAGAAGAAGAAGAAGAAGAAGAAGAAGAAGAAGAAGAAGAAGAAGAAGAAGAAGAAGAAGAAGACAGTCACTTGCCAGACTCACAGATAGTGGGAGGTAAGATCTTCCTAAAGCCAAAGTCAGAGTTCCTCCTCTAGAAGCATCTTTCACCTTTCCCCCTACTAGTCTGAAGCTCACCCCATTATCTGCCCTCTTTAAATGCCTTTGCTTAGCATGAGGCACTGACCCACTCAACCAATACATTCGATCTCCAAGTGTCTATGATTAACTCAGTAAGATGAAAATGCTCCAGTCTGGGGAAGAGATTAAAGGAGCAAAGTGTTTAACGTGGCCAACAAAGCAGAGTGAAGGGTGGTTGATGGGTACCTAGCTGGCCCATGACAGTACAACAGTACTAACCAGAGGGCGACCCACCCCACAACAAGTGTCAGGAGGTTGAACATTCGAGAAGCTTTCCCCAAGCAATTCTGTTAAATGAAAATACATGAGGGGAAATCTGCAGGTGGGTGCAGGGCACATATTCAAGCCTGTGGGTCTGAAAGGGTTTCAAGAAGTTGATACCCTTCCTTAAGAACAGTATAAGGGACACTGACACATTCTGGGTTTGTCTTTAACAGTGAATCAGGGGGGCTCATTCCTTGAATTCATTTTGGGTTTCTGCTCCATTACTATCCCTTTTACCCTCAGGAGCAGAAGGAGGCATTCATAAAGGGATAGTCTCTGTTCCTTGCAATAATTAATTAAAGGGCACAATTACTCTCTGTCACAATGACTGGGCTTGAGCCTCGTGGATCCTCCTGGTCCTGGGTTCAGTCCCAGGACCTACCCAGCAAAAGGAGAAAAGTGGCTGCCACAGTTGTCCCCTGACCTCCACATAAGCACGATAGCATGTGCACACCCCCTATCCCCCACACAAAGCAAGTCAATATAAACGGCAATAGAATGTTTTAAAAAGAAAACGAATATGTATACAAGCTCAGAAGAATATGGATTTTAAGTCTGATTTCCAAAGACCGTGGTTATGTACAGTTTTTCCAGGGACTTGTTTATACAAAGCCAGACTGAGCTTCCTGCGTAACCGGACCAGTGCAAGGGATGCTGGGAAGATGGGGAAGTTTGTGCAGGAAAGACACCTCTGAAGCACAGTATCCAGCAAATCTGACCTGGGGAAAATCAATTTTTAACCTTCTCTATAGGGAGAAATTAATTTTAGCTGGAAATCGAAAAGAGACAAATAATAGCAATGGCTAGAAAAGCCCAGACCGGAGCATTTTCATCTTACTGAGCTCAGTATAGGTGATTATGAAAAAAAAAAGTATACTATAATGTAAAAGTTATGGACTATTAATTAACATATTTTTATGGAATACTTCATGAATTTGCATGTCATCTTTGCACAGGGGCCATGCTAATCTTCTCTGTATCATTCCAATTTTAGTTATATGTGCTGCGGAAGCGAGCACAGCATATTTTTAAAGTAGAAGAAAACATGTATGTATGTCCCTCTATGTATAATTTATATGAATTATCTTACTCTTAATACCAACATTACTGTAATTAAGTGAATTTTAATAATGTGAAACTGATAAGTTTACAGTGTAGGTAATTGCTAACTCATACTAAGGTAATATTGCATGTCTTTATTCCTTGTCTTAAAACAAGAATTTTCTAAGGAAATTTTTCATCTTAAAGATTTCACCCAACATCAAGTGTGAAGCAAAATGTGCACTTGGCCAAGAGAACATCCTCAAAGTTTACTGTTTCACATTGTAAACACAAATTCAGCATTCCAAACAGAGTGATGGGATTGTAATAAACACGGCCTCTGCCTGGTCGATCAGCATGCTTCAGATCTGTAGTTTAAACACACACGAGTACAGTACCACAGGGTCAGAGACTCCAGCTACCCTGAAGTGAACTCAACTCTGACCTTTTAAGGACTTACTTCTTAAATGACGATGTCCGGGTCATACACTTTCGGGGAAGCTAACTCCTGCTGCTATGTGCAGCCTGAGAGCTACTCAGCCAGCCGGAAGCTGGGGACTGAAAACTGTTCTGGAAGGTAACCTTCCCTGCCCTAGGCCAACCTGAGGAGATTGGACCCTGAACCCCATAGCACTGCTGCTCCAGTGTGCTTCCTCACTGCCCAGCCTGAGGAACCTGAGCCAGAACCGTATGCTCAGGGCATGCTCAGATTTCCTAATCCTGTCAAACATGTGAGTTAATAAATGTTCATTATCTTTAAGGGAAAAAAAAGTGAGTATGTGCAGCCAGATAAAGATATACTCTCCCTCTAATATATAATACATATCATGTTATAGATTGAATTATACAGTTATTATATATTATAATATAATATGTATAATTATATAAATATATATAGTGAGAGCATATATGTATGTCAGGCTGCATAGACTAATACAGAGAGAGGGAGACAGAGACAGAGAGAGATCATGAGCCAACTGTATAAGTAGAAATTTTCTGGTTTCCATTTAAACAGGGTCTGAGCAAAAGCAGCAGGCACTATGTCTAGCCATAGGATGGTAGGAAGTCCCTGGAAAAGCCTAGAAGCAATCAAGGTGGTAGACAGGAAGTTAAGGCCTTCAGGAGGAAGCAGAAGAGTGGGAAAAAGCAGGAACCCTGCAGTACCGTGGCACAAACCTATAACTCAACACTCGGGACCCTGAGGAAGGAGGATGAGGCCAGCTCTATAATTAACGAGAACTGTTGCTTTTCTTACATTTCAGAATAACCTTTAAAGTGGGGCTACAGCTCTGTGGTAGAGTTTGCCAAGTATGCATGAGGCCCTGGTTCCAATCTCACAGCTCTGTGGTAGAGCTTGCTGAGTATACATGAAGCACTAGGTTCAATTTCCAGACCACAAAATAAAATAAACTTGATTTTTAAAAAAAAGGAGCAGGGAGGAAAAAAGAAAACTTAAGTGAGTACAATGAATTAGTTTCTACAGAGAAATAACACTTGTTAAAGAATAAGTAACACAATGTATTTTATAGATTCAATGTATACCATTAAAACTCAACAATAATCATAGCACTTGTTTAGAGTTGAAGCCAATACACTTTCTTCAGGAAAGAGTGTTTCCCAGATGACATTTGTTTAGAGTAAGGAGGGCATGCTGAGATAAAGAAGCAGATTGACCTCAGCTGGGTTTATTATTGCTGCAAGATTATATAATCAATGCATCCCTTATTGTGTCTACTCAGGGAAGTCACCCCTACCATCCCACCTTTGGTGAGCCATGGCCAATAAAGTGTGTGGAGTAAATTCCAGAATAAGATAAACACAGACTTGCTAAAAGAAAAGCAAAGAACCACAGTAGAGAGAAACACATACGTGTAAATCATGCCCCTCTCAAGAACGCCAAGTCCTCCAAAGAAGCCTCCTCTTCAAAGGCAATTGAAAAAACAGGAGCAGCAACTATATACAAAGTGTGAATATAAAAAACAGTTCCTAGAACAAGGCTTGGTGACGCATATCGGTAATCCCAGCAGATAGGAGGTACAAGCAGGGGGACTTTAAGGCCATCCTTGGCCATATAGCCAACTTGAGGTCAGTCTGAACTACAGAAGTTGCTGTTTCAAAATAAATAAATAAATAACACCAAAAGAGCAGAACATAGATTCTATTTCCCATTTATAGTATCACTGTTACTTGATGACCACTATTGACAGGAAAACGCAGTCCTGTTTCTCCAAAAGGATACTGACAGTCACAAAAGAAAATCTACTAACGGCTGGAGAGACAGCTCAACAGTTAACACTGCTTGCTGCTCTTCCAGAGGACCAGGGTTCCATTTCCAGCATCCCTGTCAGTCAGTTTGCTCACACTCACCTTTAACCCTAGCCCCAGGGCATCCAACCCCCTCTGCTGGCCTCTGAGGGGACCAGGTACACACATGGTACCCTGACATACATGTAGGCAAAACACTCATACACAGAAAACAAAGTAAATTGGTTTTTTTCAAAGATCAAACCTACTCATTAGTAGAAACTAAAAATAAAGAGATCCTCTTATTGACAGGTTAATGTCAATGGCAAAGAACTAAACTCAGTCTCTCACAGGGGAACCCAGGACACCCGAGCGTGACTCCTGAACTAACACCTGACTTCTTCTTCCCTGGCATCACACAGAAAGTGAGCCACATAGCCATTCACATCCCAGAGGACAGCAGTTCCAATGGAAGCCTATGGGAAACCCGACATTTGCTGGCAGGTGACACCACATTGTCTGTCTGCAATGACAGCATCCTTGAGTGACCTCCAATGTGGTGTGAAATCTCCTGCACAACCATGTCAGGGTCTTGGATCCAACATAAGGCAGTAAAAGGAGCAGACAGCTTCCGGAGCCCCGAATATTCCATGTGACCCTGTTTTCCGTAAAGGTATTTGATTCGATCTATTTCAGTCCAGTGAATGGTTACCCAGGCTGAAGGATCAGGAGAGAGGAAGGGACCATGAATAAGGCCACCCTGTCTCAGACGTTCATAATCGCAAAGGGGAGATGGCAGGAACCCTGAATTAAAGTAACCACAGAGCAGGGGCCAGAGTACAAATCAAACACAGAAAAGAACAAAACCCAATTGTTCCTGGAAGATCAAACAAGAAAGAACAGGTTTAAAGATTAATTCAGCAGGCAGATGGCAGGGGGCAGGCCTCCAGTATCATCAAGTCTATTAACTATTATGCCAACTTACCTTAACCATGAGGATGTTTGACATGGAAAACAATATATATCACTTTTAATTCAACTAGACAACCCCCAAATGTGCTCTACGTGTTTCTTTGTACATACAAAACATTGATGAATAAATACATTTGTGAGTGTACGACCCATTTACTGAGCATGTATTTGCCCTACGCAGCACAATGGCTATGTTAATATTATTACAGTCCCTAAATGCTACATATTGTCTCTATGCTGCTGTTGTTCTTTAAAGAGTTATTCAATTTTATTTTCTGTGTATGAGTGTTTTGCCTGCATGCATGTATGCATGTATGTATGTATGTATGTATGTATATATACCGCCTGCGTGCCTGGTGCCTGTGGAGGTCAGAAGAGGGCTGCAGATCCCCTAGAGCTGCAGTTATGGATGGTTGTGAGCCACCGTGTGAGTGTTGGGAACCAATTCCAGGTCCTCTGCAAGAGCAGTACACGCCCTTAACTGCTGAACCCACTTTTTTGTTTGTTCGTTTGTTTGTTTGTTTTTGTTGTTGTTGTTTTGAGACACAGTCTCCTTTTGTAGCCCTGGCTGGCTTGGAACTCACTATGTAGTGCAAGATGGCCTTGAACTCATAGCCACACTCCTTCTTTAGCCACTTGAGAGCTGGGATTGTAAGCATATAACACTAACCCTGCTTTATATATGCTCTTTACAGACCAAAACAAATAAACAAAACCAACCCTTAGGTAGAACAAGGTCTCCTGGCTAGTCCGTGGCTCAGCCAGTATCTAAAGCAGACTTAGCTGATGATGCTAATAGTTCTAGTTTTTGTTTTGTTTTGTTTTGTTTTCCCTGAGAGAGGGTTTCTCTGTGTAAACCCTCTCGCAGCCCTGGAACTTGCTCTGTAGACTAGAATGGCCTTAAACTCACAGAGATCCACCTGCCTCAGCCTCCCAAGTGCTAGGATTAAAGGTGTGTGCTACCACCACCCCCGCAACAGTTCTAGTCTTAATCACTACCCCAGGTCTCTTTTTCATAAATCATCTATGTAAACCAGACTCTTCTTGGCCTATTATTTATCTTCTTTATTTTACTTCTTCATTTTTTAAATTTGGTTTTATGTTTTTTCTTTTGAAATGGAGTTTCATGTAACCCAGGCTAGCCTCAAGCATATTCTGTAGCTCAGGCTGGTCTTGAACTCCTGATTCTACTGTGTCCACCTTCCAAGTACTGGGATTGCAGCCTTGTGCTACCTTACTGGGCTCTTATTTATCTACTTAATAAAAATCTTTGTATTGACACAATTCTTTGGCTGGAACCTCCAGCTCACTCCTGCCTGATCCAGAAAGCCTCATTCTGCTCTCTCCAAACCTCACCCTCTCAGAGAATCTCCAACAAAGAAAAGGCACCAAAAAGCCCAGTGCCACATTCCTGGTGACTGTGGCAGCTCCTCCCCTGAAGTTGCCAGCAGCCCAAGTCCCCGCCTAAAGTGGTGGACACGCTATCACCCCTCACCTACAAGCTATATAACCTTCCTGCTTCAGTTTGGATGCGTGACTTCTCCAGCCCCAATCTCTGTCTTGATCTGGTGGTGTACTGCATCAGAGAAACCTATTATCGCAATACAAAAAACCTATTAATAATTATATTCTCTCTCAGCTATACTAAATCTCCTTCTCACAGCTGCTTAAACCAGACCGCACCCACCAAGAAGCGTTTGCCAAATCCTAAAGCAACGGTTGGAGACATACAGGGAAGTGGAAGGGTGTCTGGTTTGCGGGA